GTTTGTAACTTTCATAAATGATATTAACTACGATGGTTTAAAAAAGTTATGATGGTTTAGGCATTCCAGCAGCAGTTTAAATTAGAAGTAACTGTTACTGAATTTATGGTGAAAAAAAAAATAAAAATCTGGCGAGTCCAGAATTTCAATCCAAACAACAAAGGCTCACCTATAAAATAGTTGCAATATCACGTGTGTTAAGTCTCTCCAAGAGAGCTGCTGTAAGGACTAAAATATTGCAGGACCATCTGGGTGCCCATAGCCTGAAGAAAACACTGAATTTTGAACTGTAAGTTTTTGAAGGAGAGGATGAAATGGATAAGCTTGGCAATACCTTCAAGATCCTCCGCAGAGTTGGGGAGCTCATTTGTGTACTCAAGGTAGGCTACAATGCCAACACAGTATTTGACTGTTGGCATTCAAGCTGGTGACCTTAACAGTGTTTAACATGCTGATTTACAGTGTATAAACAGAAGAAATCTGTGATGCCTCCACCTTATGGACAGCTTTTTCAAAAGCAGTTTAGGATTGTTTTGATGAATCTCAGAAGTAATTAAATGTGCTTACCACAGTTCTCTTCCTTGTGTGCTTTGGAAGGTAGTGGGGGGGAAGTTATTGGGGTGGAGGACTGGAGGTTTATTTTGCATAACAGAGCTGATGAGTAAGTAATCTGGCATCTTTTAAGTCCAGAGATGAAAACATACCCAGATACCACAGCAGAAATATTTCCCACTGAATTACTTATTTCTTTTCTTTTAGTCAGGATGCTCAAGAAAGGCCTCTGAAGCACTTTTAAAAGATCAGCTTGAACAATAAATCATAAGTTTACCAAATGTGGAAAAAAATGCCCATGATAGAACTGATAGTTTTTACAACACAGTATGATTCTCCCTTCCTCTCCAGTTCTTCTGTATTCTGCCAAGTATAAATGATGTCCTCTCCCTTTATAAATTTAAACTAACATATCCCCTCATTCATTTCACAGGTGCTAACTTCCTCTCCTTTTCAGAGGGTGAGGTTAGAAACACTGAGAAGTTGTTTGAAGTTTAAACTATCTGATCACCTTAAATTTATTTTTTAAAAGTTCAGACCACAGAAGACGTTTGAGTCAAGAAAGCTGCCCTACAAAAATCATATCTACTGAAAAATCTTTTTTCCTTCTTACTGATGTATTTCTGCAGTAGCACTGACCACTTCAGCAATGAAAAATAACTTTTATCCAGATTGCTTTAGCAGGCAAAAATAAGGCAGTGAAGGGTAACTATTCAGAATTCGCACAAAGAGCTTGTCCTGACTTGAGGGGGGTCCAGTTGACAAAACAGGAAACTTTAAGGACCTGTGCTAATGAACGAACTGATCTAACTTCTTCAGCCAATGTAAGGTGTAACAGATTCCTAGATGTCATTTTCCTTGGGCTACACTCTTTTCACCAAAGTGGTGCAGGAAATTTCACACCTCTAATCTACCAAAACTCTGGAAAGACACCGCGCAGAAATACATGTCCTCTTCAGCATTGTGATGACATGCTCCGCCTGTTCTGGCATTATCTACTTATCAGAAACTTGATTTTTTTTTTTAATGACTGTTGAAATATCATTTATATTTGGGAAGCAGCTCGTCCCCAGAGTTTGTTAACCTACCGTGTGTGCCAACAAGTAATTTTCTTCACTACTGTGAACTAACTGAAGAGGTCATAACTCTTCTGTCAGAGCAAAAAGGCATTTTTAAATTTTTTTTCTTTTCTTCATTTTCTTTCATTTTCATTTTCATTATAGAGTCACAAGACTTAATTCCGCTTCTGAAATTGGACTTTGTGGTCCAGGAGAGCTGCCTTCAAGTTAGAAAGCAATAAAACACTCATACACAAACACACTTGTGGGGGCTGGTTAGCTCAGTCAGTTGAGTGTGGCGCTAGCAACACTAAGGTCGTGGGTTCAATTCCCGTTCGGTCCGCATGTGTTGCCTGATCTAGTTGAGAGGTGGCGTCCCTGGCGGCAGGGAGGCTGGATTAAAATGATCTCTAAGGTCCCTTCCAGCCTAGGCCATTCTATGATATGATATGATAATATTTCCAGTCCCATAAAGAACAGGCCTTTAGTCATTCAGACTTAAAAGTGGATCAAAAGCTTAATATTCCATGACTGGCAAACTGAGAGTACAATGATACAGGCATCTGCTCCACAAACCTATTGAAGTATTTTGAGAACCAATCTTGGTAAGCAGTTAACAATTAGATCTTTTTGTGCCTGCTAAAGCACCTGATTCCTCTGCTAAACAACAATGTCCTGATGAACACTGTCATTACATCAAAAAGTCAATATATCATATTTGGATATTCTGAATGAAGATCTACTACTCAAAGACTTCTTTGAATTTGTTCTACTACTTCATTTTTTACATGCTGAAGTCTGCCCACAGAGCTAAATGTACTTTATTCAAAACTTCCTATAACATTCTGAATGACCCTTAACACAACTCAATTAAGAGATAGCAAGGTTAGGATTATCAGTGGCTGGCTCCAAAACTTCACCAGAGATGGTACAAGTTTGCAGGATTTATAAAAGTGAACAAAAACCCCAAACACTCTCTCGGATAAATATGAGGTGAATGTTTATAGTGTTGACAATTCACTGCACAATGCAAGAAAAATATGACCACCTTTTCACAGATAGCATGACAGAAATATCAGTAGCCCAATACCATGAAATACATTTTTGTGTGTGTGTAAGTAATATTGGAATTAAAATACTAAACCAAAGGAGGAGTGGATAGTCAGTACTATCTGTTTCACAAAGAATCTCTTTCAAGCAGCAAAACCCAATAAAATAAAAATCACAACTTCACTCCATTGAAAAGTTTTCACTAGATTTTAAGCCAAACTTACCATTACAGTGATTACTTACCTCTCTGTTAAGGTCCACTTACTTTAATAACACAAATTACTGCAATTAATGTTGCTCATATAAAAGCATTCCTCTAAAAACAAAAAAGGTTTTTGAACTCTGAATTCCAGTTACAATATTTGCTGTGCCTCATTTCTGTGGCATTTTTCTGAAGGGACTACATAATCTTTGTGGCTGCATGACATAAAGCAAATGCTCATTTATTTGACTGCACCGTACATTCCAGTAATATTCCATCAAATCATTACACACAGTTTTCTGGGTTTTCTGTAACTGTTTTCACTTGCCCAGGAACAAAATCAAGTGAATAATTTTCAAAATTCATTGCAGTAAGTCTAGACTTTCAACTGAATCCTTTAAAAGTTACCTTTAAATTAAATTAGGTATAGATTCCCCTTGAGCTTTCCCACTAGTCGCTACTGAATCCCTTACGTGGGATAGTTAAGCAGCTGTCACAGCATTCTCTCAAATGCCATTCTGCCCTTTCATCGCATTTCACTAACATAACAAGGCCTGGAGTTACCTCAACTAGTCTGGGTCCTCCAAAGAGTCCAGCTGCAAGTAAAGGAGAGCTCCACACAGACCAGTTCATTTTGCGGAGCTAGCTATTATTAAACAGTCAACTGAGTCAGCTGAGAAAGAATATACATCTGCTTCCATGGCTGGCCTGCTCCTAAAGCCCAGGATATCCTGGTCAGCTCCTAAAAGCTTGGATACATCTACCCTGTACAAGTGTCCACACCCCAACTCACTACCCCACCTCACTACAGTATCTCCTTGCAGTATTGGACAAGGGAGTTCAACTTCTCACACTTGCTGTTAAACATTTGTTTCTAAAAAACCCACATGCCTGCATCCCTTTTGTTCAAAGCATCTACTCATTTTTACACAGATTTTTCACTGCAACAAACTTTTATTAAACTCTATTGGTCAGATACTCAATGAAACCAAGATGCAGCCTGAGCTTTACCTGATACAGAGACATACACTTTTATATCAAGAGCTTCCCTATGTGAAGCTTCCAGATGTACCCACTCATCATTTGCCACACTTTTATACCAAGAGCTTCCCTATGCGAAGCTTCCAGATGTACCCACTCATCATTTGCAGCCAGGTTTCAGCTTCTGGCTTTGAAAATACCCTTAAAACCAAATTATCTAATGAAATTTTAGGAAGATGTCAACACCAATAGCCTGATTACACTTAGCTGCAGAGGAACTCAAAGCTTTTATTAAGGTTTTTAAATCTAAGAGTCCCTATCAAAGGCCAAAGTAAATTCTTTTGTCCATTTCATACTACCCTTTAAACCTACACAGAAGATTCTTCGAACTTTCCTGGTCCATAGATGCAACACGGCGAGTTTCTCCAAAATGCCTCCACATTGACTTTGCTTAGAAGTCTACCAGCCTAAAAGCTTACACTTCCTTTTTTTCTTTTTTTTTTTGGTGTCACAACCACATAAAAAAAATCACAGGACTCTCAAGCCTTTGCGAGAATCTACACTGATAATTCCAAAGACCATATTCAAACACTACTGACTTGGGCATTTGCATTTCTTATGATTAAATTCGAGTGCTCAACTATTTGTTCTTGCTTATCTCTCACACTCTGCCTTAAACAAACCTATTGATGTATGAAGGATTAGCAGCACTCCTTCAGGGCAAGGTACCATTCAGAGCAGATAACATTTCCAAAACATATTTCAGAGATGGCATCCCAACTCACACCAAAAAATAAATTTTGGTGAACTTTATCACATCATCCTTTGCTTCTATAGCCTCATCCTAACTTGCTTTTTCTATTGATTGGGTTTTAAAATGTTGCTATTTCACTGCAAATTTAAGCATGAGTTCTGCAGGATTGTTTTGACTTTACAAAATGATTCAACCTTGGATAAAGGGGAGGAAAAAAACCAAAACAAAACATTCTCCCCATTTTTTTCTACTGACATTCAAAGCAGACCAGTTAAAAAAAAAATCTCACTATATACTATAGAAAAACTTTCTTTGTGTATCAGACCTTCTCATACACAACCTGTGAACATCCTAAGCAATCACCTTTAAATTTTCTTGAAAAGTTAGGTATCTATCAACTTACTTCCCCAAACAGGAATATCTTTGCTTTCAGCTTTCATCACAATGGAGGCAAAAGTCATAGTTACTGGAATGGCATCAAAGTAGGAAGAATGGGGAGCCACCGTTAATATCGCTGCTTCTGCTGGTAATGCCCGTCTGCCTTTTACATTTATCCAGTGGAATCCACCAGCAAGCCACATCATTCTCATGATTGCCTTCAGCAAAACATCCACTATCCTGTAAAGAGTTGAGAAAACAGTTAGGCTGCCACAAGAATACCTTAAAATAATGAAATGTTTCACATAAAAACTCTGCAAGCATGACAAAAGTACAGAAAGGCTATGCGACTTAAACAGAGCAGGAACTCTGCATAGACCTTTTGTTTTCTCTTTCTCATCAGATTTAACACTAGTTTCAAGGTAAGATGCCATTCAATTTCACTTCATGCCTGCATATTAATGCTTTTTAATCACAGCATGATTGGAGTTTATTTAATCATTAAATTTTGACACAGATTATAACTACTGAGCTTCTTCTACACAATGCCTAATAACACTTTCTAGTAACACCAGAAAAGCTCTAATAAACTGAGTCCTGGAAAATACTATTAGGGTACTGCTAGAATGCAATAACCCTGATTCTTGGGTTTGAGGCTATCCAAACAAAACAGTGAAGAAATGCAGGCCAGAGATTGTAAAACAGGGTGATGCCTACAAAACACATCTGGGAGCTTTGCAAATATTTTACTTTCTTCTCTTTTTCCCCCATCTCCTCCTAAAGTGTTTTGGGTTTTGGTTTTTGGGGGTTTTTGATGTTTTTTTTTAAGTGGGTTTTCATTTGCTTGTTTTTAAAAACTGTCTGACAGTCATGAGAAGAGAAACATTTACTTTGAACCAACAGAGTGCAAAAACGAAACACCACAAATTGCTCTATTCATGGGGATTGGAAGCTGAAGAGCAAGGTGACACTGAAAACTGGATGAAAAGGGGGAGAGAAAACTTAAAAAGCTCCAAAATGCAAGTCTGAAGGCAACCCATTATTCCTTTAGTTATTACACTAATATTATTCCAAATGAAATGTAAAGTGACGTGTCTGTGGTTCTCAACCTCCTTCCCTCCTGTGACGCAAAATAAAATCGGCTTCCTTCATGCTAGTGCCAGCTCCTAATTTTAATTTTCTCTCCAGAAGAGGCCACACACTCCTCCTTGCTCGTCAGATAGCAGTTTTCATGGATGGGTGAACATTGTCTTACATTCTACCTTAATTAGTATTCCGGTATCAAATAAAGCACAGCCTTATTAATAAGCACCAAAGCACAGGGTAGGCTCTCAGAGAATCAATAGAAGTTTTGTCAGTTCACCACAAGGTAGCAAACAATGGGGGAAAGCAGTTGAAAGCAACAATTTAGAATATGAAATTCAGGACATTCTATAGCATCAATTTTCGTAACGAGAAGTTGGCATTATGGGAATAATTGAAATTGAAGGATGTCACAGTAAAGCTTCACACTACAGCCTCAGGAAAGATAAGAAGGCAGAGGTGATCTGTAATTCTTGGGTCACATGGTAAATCAAACAGCTGAGGTATTTTTCGTTCCCCATCTGAGGGAAGTGTTTAATAATTTCAATGGTTTTTTTCTCAGAAAAGGTCTGTGGGACAGGCTTCAGGTATTTCCAACCTTCTCCGTTGCAAATTGCTGAATTAAATAACGATTCTCTCAGTATTTCACCATATCAGTGACTCACTTTCGCCACCAGGAGAGAGGCTTTTCAAGCTCTTGCTCATCAGATCCCATCGAAGCAATGAATGCAAAAGGCCAGGCCAGCAACATCATAAAAGCGGCAAAGAAGAGTCGGATAGGAAACAGAGTCAAAGTCATGAAGGCAATCTGCAAAATCCAAAACAAATGCATTATTCTAACACAATCTAGGATTGCTAGAAAATGATCTGAAGTCTTAACTTAAAAATATCTTATGTTAAGAACAGCAGAATACGCTTCAATTCCAAATAAATAACTGTAGTGTACATGTGACAATTCTGTACTCACTGATCTTCATTACAGCTGAAACACAGCACAATCTTAGAGCAAATGCAGTCTTATCTTTACACACTTCTTTAGACCCCATGCTTGCCAGTGAATACATCCGCATGCTCTTTTCCCTTTCCATAGCCTCACATTAAGTAAATATTTAGCATGGGTGTGTTGTAAATCCTACTGCACTACAGAGCAGTCAGTCCATCACAACAGCTTCCCAGCAGTGATGAGCACTTCTGCAGCAACATGCACTCACATTGTAACACAGGACCCAACCTGGAAAGCTCTTCCAAGACTGAGCAGGCACTAGCTCCTCTATAGTACATTCCTGGAACCAAAAGCTGTGGGGAACACTGTGCAGACACCTCTGGAAAAACATCCAGACACATGTAGGAGTTTAAGTTCCAGGTCTATGCTAGCAGGCACAACCCCCTGGAAGGCAGTTTTCAAGATGTTATCCTCCCCTGGGAAGCCACAGTGAATCTTGTTGCTTCTCCACCTCCCGCCAACACTCTAGTTCTCAGAGCCCATTCCCAGTCAGTGAGCCTTCTGCCTTCAGCTTTGGCGAAAAGTATGTCATCTTAGTACTTCTCCCACAGTCTTTTGAAGAATTCTCCCAAAAGTAGGGCCTTTCCTTAGCTGTTTGGAATTGTTCACAACTGTACTCCAGAAAACACAACTTAGTAACTATCTGTGCAATGATCTCCTTGCTCCAGTAAACAGTTTGAGGAGCCAAGAGTCTCACCTTCCTCACTCAAAGGACAGGAAGAAAGGAAAAAATGTTCTCAAAGTGGAGGAGGGCACAGCTTCTGACGACTGCCTAAGGGAGAGAGAAGGAACTGAAAACTGTCTGAAGCTCATGGGGGTAGCACCAGTGCTCCTCATGCTGTACAGTGAAGGTTAGCAGAAGATGAAACCATGAAGCAGAAGGGTCACATAAAGAAAAAAATTTCAGAAGGAAATACGCTACATATGAATATCAAATATGCTACAAGACAAGGTAGAAAAACACTTTTCAGCACCACAATGGCTGGGCAACAATGAGTAATGGGGCATAAGGTGCTGTCTCATGTTGTGCTTAATCCGATGCATCTCCAGGCTGCTTTGGAAAGAATTATTCATATTCTTCTCTTCCCTCTTGCAGATCTAGTCATCATGTAGCTCAGTTTTTGACTGATCAGTTCCTGCTTTGCTAACTTACCAAAACAGCTCAATACCAACTCATCCTGTAGCTGCACAAATCCGTAGATTTAGGGTAGGGGGAGGGAACACATAGCAGAAGAAAAAGTTAAGCTACCAATTTCAAGCCTTAAGCTACCAGCACGCTGGACTGTCAGATTTTACAGTGATGGTTCAGACTGGCACCATCATCTCATTGCAACCATGGTCTCACTCCCCAAAACAGGATTCTAGTCCCTGTGTGCAGAATCAAAAGAAAAAGGAATCATCTTCTTAAACAGGCTAGTTTCTCACATAAACCAGTACAATCTTCTAAACTGCAATGGTGAGATGAGCACTGAAATCACACCAACTCATGCAACTTTTTATCCACAGACAAGATCACCATGTCTGGCAGCAAACAGAGGAGCATTCATCTTCAAACCAGAGAAGAGAAAGCAGCTGCCTTCTAAGCTTTTAAAATGAGAAGGACCAGTTGCCGAGAAGAAAACAAAATGAAGGTGAATCATAGAACAATTCAGGTTGGAAAA